GGGAGGGAGGGAGAGAGGCGAGAGGGAGGGAGAGAGAGGAAGGGAGGGAGGTGGAATTTCATTTCTTCCACTAAAGCGTTTGCGGAGACTTCAAGGTATAATCTATCCCAGACCCTTTCCCAGAGAGAAACTTGGCGATCACGTTTTCACATGATGCTCACGCTCGGGGCGCTTCGATTATCCCTCCCCACAAAGATAGGTGGCGCGTGTTTCAGGGTCTCTCCTACAGAAAAGAAAAAGAAAAAAATGTCATTAGAAGAGGCGTAACACGTCAGTCCGTCCCCAGGTTTGTTTCCTGGAGTGGCCGAAAGAGATCAGTTCTAACCTGCTCCGCAGGAATAACGGTCCTGCCTCCCTCCCGACACTCTTGGGGAGGTTTCGCACAGTTTGCTCCGGGAGCTGCTTCTTCGCTTCCACCTTTTTCTCCCCCACACTTCGCGGCTTCTTCATGCTTTTTCTTCTCACCATTTCTGGCCAAAACTACAAACAAGACTTCGCAGGTAGGTTTTCCCCCTTTTTTTTCTCTTTTGATCCTTTTTGGGTGTGCTCGTCCCCGTCCTCCTTTCCTAATTTTCTCACTTCGAGGGAGGCTGTGAGCCTGAAGTGAGAAGGGTGTCTGCGGGTAGGAATTTCAGGTGGGTTTAGCTTCTTTATGGCACGCTTTTCCCAAGAGTGGCTTCTTTGCTTTCTCTTCCTCTCTCACGCTCTCTGCTTCCCTTTCTCTCCTTTTTCCCTCTCCCAAATAATGTACCCTGTACCTGTCCATTCAGGTAACCAAAGGTGCTTTTGCTACCCAATCTGGGAAAAGTTTTATTGAGAACTGTATGGCTGGAATAAAAACTCATCAAGGGGAGAGCCTCTGCTTTATTTTCGCATCTAGTTCCTCTTCATTATATTCAGCCATTAAAACTTGGCAAATACCTGTTAATAATTACAAAACTTGAGAGATACAAACCCACCAAATTTGGGAGTAAGTCTTTCTCTTAGATACAGCAGCCCATCTTCTCCCACCGGAGCAGGCTGTTTTCTAAGCAGAAAGTTGCCTGTTTTTGTCTGCTTAGCGAGTTTCATTTCTTTATTTCATTCTTTGTGTATATATGTGTGTGAAGTAACACCTCACTTCTGTGATTATAAATAAAGAAGTGAAAGTCCTCATGCAACTTGAGTCGTTTACCAAAGTGTGTGTGTCTGGGGGGGGGTCACTACAGCTGGGAAGAAAACTGCTGTCAGGATATCAGGATTTTAAATTAGGATAACTTTTTAAATCATATTTTAAATGGCAAAGTAATGTAGACATGGGTTTAATAGGAGACTCATATACACACAGAACTCACCCCTTACTATGGCACTGAAAAGTCAAGGGAGAGGACAGGAGTTCCCAAGAACAGGGTGAGCATGGCTAACATACATGTGTTTATCTCCCACCCACTTACATATTTTATTTTACATGCTCCCCCTATAATGATGAGGGCAAGATTACTTACTCCAGAGTTAGGAATAACAGCCAGAGATAAAGTTTACAGCACAAATGCCCTCTCTCCCTCTCACATACACAGGCTCATAAAACTACCAACTTACTTTATTAAACATACATTTATATGCAATCGTGTGTAAGTCTCAGCCCTGATACAGACAGGCCAGCTGTTTCATCCCAGGCACTTGTGTGACCATTTCCTTGTTTCAAGATTTTCCCCCAACCGTCTAAAATCAATAGAACAGGAAAAAATGATTTTTAAAAATGTGTCAGACTGAAGCGTCCTGCTGTGTATGCCTAGGTAAATTCAAGGTGCTTTCTAAAATATCCACTTCCCCTTCTCTCTGCCCCCACCCCCACCGCTCAGCAAATGTGTGGAAACTGATACTCACTTTCCAGGTTTTCCGCAAAGCATCTAGCACAGGAGACAATGGGTGCGGGGCACGGGACCGAGCGTGCTCGTCGGCAGGGAAAGGGTTAACGGCCCTTGTGTTACAGTTTGCATCTGTTACATCTTTTATAGCCCCCTGTTTAAACTAATCCTGGAGGCACAGCATCTTCCCAACCTCCGCTGAGTTTCAGGATTTTCCTCTCTTGCCTGCCTCCGCGGTTCCCCTTCTCCAAGTTTTGACAGTTTCAGCTGAAAAAAAATGCAACGCCTCTCTCAATTTTTAGGTACAAAACTTTCGAAGCCAGAAAGGATAGGATCCTTTAGTAGAGCTTAAAAGTATTGCCGTAGTGGTTGGACTTTCTCTTTCCTTTCTTGAGGGGGAAAAAGAAAACATGTTTTTTTTTCTGCTGGAACTATTTAAGGGAACCAGTGTGGGGGAGCATGGTGTGAGTGGAGTGGGGGGAGATATTTAAGTCAATACTGTCGAAGTGGTGGTGCGGGGGGGGGGCAGTGTCCAAAGAGGCTTATAATTATATTTCTTAGGGCTGCGTAAAATGGGAAATCTCAATTCGGGGGCGGAGGTGGGGGGAGGAAGAGACAGTGCCTCGATGAACTCCAAAGAGGAGGGGGGGAGGCGCAGGGCGAGCGGGCTTCCTATAATTACTATTATCAATTTACCCGAGTGTGCTTCACCCCTTCAGAGGCTGTTTCGCGTTGTTTGTTTGTTTCTTTCC